ACCTGTATGAAATAGCCCCTTAGAACAGTAGCTAAGAGGTCAGGTCTCCTCAGCAGAAAGTCTGACCATCCTTGACCTTGCTGTTTAGTTGGGCAGGTCGGGATTTTTTTTTCTTCTTTCTAAGGTTGAGTTGGGGGTTACAATAAAAATAAGTTCATTTTATAAATGTCAGTCTTGTTTTGGGACCGAGTAATGAAAGTGGTAACAGATCCAACTGGATATTTAGGGGAACTAACACCAAATTTTTCCAAGTTTTGCACCAAATTTTTTGAAAATAAAGATGTTTGTTGTTTACAGTCATTATCTTCACATGACAGATGTTTTCTAGATTCTTCTTTTTCTGATTCAGGGCCTTTGGTGGCTTAACTTTTGGAGGATTCCCTAGAGAGCCCCCTCTCAGGTGCTGGGGATGTAGCTCAGTTAATAGAACACTTCCTAGCATGCACACAGCCCTGGGTTCCATCATATCACTCAAACTGGACATGATGTCACCTTTCTGTAACCCCAGCACCTGGAGGAGGATGCAGAAGGATCAGAAATTGAAAATCATCCTCAGCTACATAGCAAGATTGCCTGGGTTATATGAAACCCTCTCTCTCAGGGGTTGGGGGTCACAAAATGTCACTATCTTGTCTAACACTGCAAAATCTAAAAACAAGTCAGATAATAAACCCTATAATCCATCTTGTAGTTATTGATAGCAAAGCCTCATTTATGTTAACCTCCCTAAATCAAAGGCACACTATGGCTGCATGTTAAAATCCCACAGCATCTTAGCTTTTACTATCAATTCTGCTTGTGGGGAAAGCCTGAGCTCACTGCATCTTGAAAGGTTGCTTCTATTTTTAGCAAGAAGATCATTAGGATTCCTCTAAGATGGTCCTCCACAGCCAGCTCTAGAGGCAGCACCAAGAGCTAAATATGGCATCTCACGTCTTTTACGTTTTAAAAGGACTACATGAGGACTTTTTAAAAAACAATGTTTTAACACAGTTCTTTACAACTGTTCTCTGAGTGTGAGAACCTGTTCCCCTAATGAACCTAGTGGTAAAGAATGAACAATAAAGTCACAGAAATCATGGCATACAGCCCCAAAGATCTGGTGTGAAACCCACAATAAATTCCTGAAGAATGGAACACACTGGCTCTAGACACACACACTGAAAGAGGGAAAGAGAAATAAAGTAAACTTGTGAGATAAGGGACTTGTTAACTTGACTGTGACCTGCATATGTATTAAAATGTAATGTTGTATACCTTACACGTACATAATTTAAAAGGAAAACTGTTTACAATCTCTGAATGCAGTTAAGGTTTATATCAGACACAGAGGTATTTTTAAAAAAAAAAAAAAGAAGGAAATATGTAATAGATCACATAATTTTTTTGAGAGAGAATCTTACTATGTAGACCTAGTTAACCTGGAACTCCCTCTGTAGACCAGGCTAGCCTCAAACTCACAGAAAGCCACCTCCTTCTGCCTCCTGAGCCCTGGATTAACCACCATCCCTGGATTACACACCATATTTTCCAAACAGGGGTGAGTATAAGAGCCTGGATGAGGCCATTCACACAGCAGTAGATTCAGAGAGTCATCCAGACATTGAAGCCCAAAAGAAACCCTGATTCAAGACTCAACAAGGGAGTGGGAGTCAGATGTCTCCAACCACAGCCGGAACAGCCAGAAGCAAAGGAGAAAACAATGTGTAGGCAGCCCCAAACCACCTATACCTGGCTCTCCCCCCATGCCAGCCGAGGCCTGGCAGGGCGTTGCTGTTTCTGGACCTTTCTATGAACATCTTGCCTGTCCTTTCGAGTGTTTTGGGTGTGGCCCAGTCTTTTCGGCTGGGTGCTGCTTCCATGTGTTGAGGACCTCCATAAAGGGGCTGCCATCATCTGACTCTGGGGCTGAGGGGCTGTCCCAGCCCTGGCTGTGGCCAGGCCTCCCCAGGCTTCTCCCAGTGGTCTCCTTTTGGACCCAGAGTACAAATGCTCCAGAACGTTTTAATGTGTTACCCACAATAGTCAGGCAGCCATAGCTAGCAAAACAAAGCCACACATTTGTTATTAATAGAGTTTTCTGTTTGTGTCATTTGCTGCTTAATGATCTGCTGTAGATTATCCTCCACACTTTAATAAAGCAGACTAGCTGTGCCCTGGTGGCTTCTAGCTATTCTCTCTGGAAGGCATCTTTATAGACTCACTCAGTCAACGGCCTAGTCTTTGTGGAGACGATGGATTTTCAGTGTCTCAAGTCTAGAACAGTCATGGCTAGTGCCACCACAGGCCTTTCCTGTGGCAGCTGTAACAGATCAACCTGGTAGCTTCAAACAACAGAATGTGGGCGTCTAAGGAAACAGAAAACCAAAGTGTCACCATTGCTTTGCACTTCCTGAAGGTTTTAGTGGAGATTCCATCCCTCGCCCCTTCTAGTTGATGGTGGTTCCAAGTATTTCTTAGCCTGGGACCACATCCTCCTATACCATGTCTCTCTGGTTGCCTAGCTACCTCCTCCTTGTCTAGTCTGTGAGATCGCCCTAATAAGGTTTAAATACGAAATGCCCCATAGTTTTACACTTTGAAAGCTTGGTCTGTTGTATTTTAAAGTGGCAGGCTGTGCTCTTGGCAGGTTGGAGCCAAGGGGCCGCATGGCAGGTGAGACACACACACACACACACACACACACACACACACACACACACACCATGCAGACAGCGTTCACGTAGAGGATTTTATTGGGGGAAGGGAAGAAGGGATGCAGAACGCTCCTCTGGAGATAAAAGCTGAGGAGAGAGGAGAAATGAGAGAGGAAGAGAAAAAAAGGGAAGGGAAGGGGGTACAGATGTAGCCTCCTGGGAAGAGAGAGGAAGAGAAAGGGAGAAAGTTGGGCGGAGCCCACCTCTTAAAGCTGGCTTAGCTCATCCACAAATGGGCTATATAGGATGACATTGTCAGGACCCTGAGCGGGCCAAGGTACTGCCTGCTTACTGGCTAGGTCCCCAAGGGACCTGCCAGGTAATGTCTAAATGCTAACATGGTTGCAGAGGCCCACAAAGGTTTCCTGGTGAGATCTGAGCTTGCTTTACCCAGTAGGACGGCTTTAGAGGATGGCTTGACCACGTGTGTGGTTACCAGGTGATTGGAAGTGTTTGCACTTGTCTATGTCTAGGGAGAGGTATTTTGCTCCACCTCTTGGCATTCCTATAAAAGGCCCTTTAGAAGATACAGGAGGCCTACTTCACCCACATTCAGGGGAGCCTGCATGGGACCGAATGTGGGTGAAAGTGGTGTGGCTTGATGGGTTTGTGGGTCCCCTGGCAATGAGACCAGGACTTTTCCTGGGTACACGAACTGGCTTTTTAGACCCCATTCCCTATGGTGCAATGTCTTACTCAGCCTTGATGCAGAGGGGAGGGGCTAGGTCCATCCCCAACATGGTATAATAGCCTGTGTTGACTACCCAAGGGAGGCCTTACCCTCTATGGGGAGGGGATGGAGGTGGGATCGGGGTAGGTGCTGGTGGGGAGTGGGAGAAAAAGAGGGAGGAGGAACAGGGGGTGGTATGTAAAAGGAAAGAAAAAAAATTTAATGAATTATATATTTTTTTAAGAGAAGATAGAGGAGGGGGCAGCGGATAATGGCCCAGGCCCTCCCGAGGCTGTCCTGTATTTCTATCTGTTTCTCTCCCCTCTATCCTTCTATCTAAATATTTCTCACTCCTCCCTCCTCAAGAGTACCCTGGGGGAAAAGCGGGAACAGGTCTCCCACAGACACACATGGTCCCCAATTGACAGAACTATGTAGGGGGTGTGGAAACTTTAAGACATGCAGTCTTGCTGGGGGAAGTAGGTCTGTAGGGTAGGTTCTTGGGGGTGTTTCATTCCTGAGCCCCAGCTTGCTGTGCTCTGTACCTCCTGTCTGTTAAGAAGGAAAGAACACGCCCTGCCACACTCTCTTGCCACCATGGGCAGAGCCCTCTGAGGCCGGGGGGCCAAGCGCAAGCCCTTCCTCCCTCAAGCTGTTGCACCCAGATTGTTTGATCACCGCAGAAAGAGTCACCAGGACACGCCAGAACACGCCAGAACACGCCTTCTATCTTCGGCTTGTAAAAAATAACCTGCCAGTGGACATGGGTCTCTCTACCAAGACCTTTATTCTAAATATGATCACACTTCCAACTATAGGGGATTAGAAGTGAGCAAAGTGAGTGGCAAATTATCCTAGGTTTTTGCAGGATGCGGGGAGGGGGGCTTGGCAGGACATGGGGCTTTTGTAACCAATATAGAGACTGAATGGTTACCCTAGACCTCAGAAGCAAATGGCAACAGGCTGTTGACAGGCCGAGTCAGGCAGCGATTTTCCAGCTCTGGACCCTGGACCACTGGCAGCAGCACCAGGCAGAAATCTGTTAGAAAAATAAGTCCTTAGGTCCTGCCTGGGTCTTTTTATGAGGGACACCAAGGGCAGCCTCCAAAACCTGTCTTCATGCAACACTTAACATGCATTGAAATTACAGAGCCACCAAGAGCAGGATTTGAAATTGGGCCAAAAGAGGACAAAAGAGCAATGAATAAATTCCCAGCTACAATGGTGGCCCTCAGGTCTGTCAACACATCAGAACCACATGAAACGCTTTGTAAAAAATTCTGATGCCCAAGACCCATAATCAGGCTGGGGAAGAGCACAAGCAGGCTGCTTCCACAATGCTCCCCAGGAGCTTACACTGTGAGCTAACACCCAGGAGGACCTGAGCCAGGAGACTTCAGCCAGGGGCCGCATAATGAGTAGGTGAGCCCTGCGGTTCTGAAAAGGTGGGCCTGGCCCCCATGCTCTGAAAGGCGGAATGAACACATGGCTTTTGTTTTGAATTTACAAAGAATACAAGATTACAAAACAGACCGCAGAATGTAATTTCAGGGTGCTTTGGGAAACAGAAGTATGTGAATAGCTCAGAGGAATAAAAAAGTTCCAAACTGGTAGAAAGTGAGGTATGGGTTTAATATGGAAGAAAGGAGAGGGGTCGAATCCTTCTGCTGAGCTGACAGGCAATTTCCTGGTGTGAGCTCAGGAGCCGCCACAGGTTGACAGGATGCTGGCTGGCCACAAAGGCAACATTTTAGCTTCTATCTCTGTCTTCCACTGCGTCAGCTGTACCCAGGATTTGATTTGTAGAAGTGACTGAAAGAGGGCACAAAGACAAGGTATAATTACTAACCCTTCCCAAGAGAGAGGAAAACACCATGCCAGGTGGACCACAGGAGGAGGGGGAAGGCAAAGCCGACGCCTATTGTGACTTCCATGGAAGGGGGTGAAGAGGCCGAGAAGACCAGTTTGAGCGAGCCTAAGACTGGACGGTTTACATTGCCTTGCGCGAGTTCACAGGGTGACTTCAGGTGCTGGGCCCTGGGGTGATTCAGGGTAGAGAAACTGTGAGTTTGGACTGTGAGTGTTAGACGAAGAAGATATTGGGAATAGGGACTCAGGCTGGTTGGCTTGGTAAAGCTGTTGGCTGTCTTCAAGAATTAGCTAGTCTCGGGAAGGGCGTTCTCCCCAGGCACCTGGACATAGAAGCAATGTAAAATAGAGAAAATATAGATGTGCTTACTACACATGTATGGCCTAAATCAAAAGGTCATTTCTGTGCAGAGCTGACAGTTCTGGGGTAAAGCATTTGCCTTGTAAGCATAAGGATCTAGGTTTGTCTCCAAGAACTGACATGAAATAGGCAGGCATGGTTTTACACACTAACTTAAACCCTACTGCTAAGGAAACAGAAAGAGGTGGATTCCTGTGGTTTGGTGGCCAAGTAGCCCATTTGGGGCCAATGTGAGACCTTGTCTCAAAACACATGGTGAACAGTGTCTTAGTTAGGGTTTCTATCGCTGTGAAGAGACACCATGACCACGGCAATGCTTATAAATGAAAACATTTAATTGGGGGTGGCTTACAGTTTCAGAGGTTTAGTCCATTATCATCATGGCAGGACATGGCAGCATGCAGGCAGACATGGTACTGGAGAAGCAGCTGTGAGTTCTATGTCTTGATCTGCAGGCAGCATAAGTCTGTCCCACTGAGTGTGGCTTGAGCATATATGAGACTTCAAAGCCCATGTCCACAGTGACACACTTCCTCCCAGAAGGCCACACCTATTCCAACAAGACCACACCTCCTAATAGTGCCACTCCCTATGGCCAAGCATTCACACACGAGACAATGCTAGAAAAATAACCTATTCAAACCACCACAGACAGTATCTAAGTAACAACAGCTGAGATTGTCTCCAGCCTCCACGTGCATACATGAATATTTATACAACACACACACACACACACACACACACACACACACACACACACACACACACGGTTGGGGGAAGATTTTCTATGTCTTATATTAAACCAGGAAACTGGAGATGAAGATTTAAAAGCCAACTGAACACAGTTGATGAGTACATCAAAGGTTATCCTGGCCAGAAGAAATGGCATAAAGTAATTTTCCCTACTTTTAGTGAGTAAGAATATAAGAAAGAGACAATGAGCTGGAGAGAAGAAATCAGGGATGAGTGGGTGGAGAACCACAGCTGTCTCTGAGGGGAAAGGGGTTGCCACATCATCAATATGGAAGATGGAAATGGAAATCCATAACTGCTGGGTGGGTAAGTGCTGGTAAGAAACACAGATGGCTGGGAATGGTGGTTCCCCTTTTTTTCCCCGCCACTCAGAAGGCAGAGGCAAGTGGATCTCTGTGAATTCAAGACCAGTGTGTGTTGTGGAATATTTGTTTAACTAGGCAAAGTTGTGTTACATTTGTTCATGTTGAATTTGTTAACTGTAAAGATGCGATGCATTTTTGCTAATTAAACAAAATTAACCTGGGTTCAGGCAGGGTTAGCTACCGGTTGACAGGAAGTAGAAGGGAGGAGCTTAGCTTGTTTTTTGTTGTTATTGTTGTTGTTGTTGTTGTTGTTGTTGTTGTTGTTTTAATCACGGTGGTGTGAAAGGGTGTGGCTTCCAGGGATGCCAGCAAAGAGAGAAAGTCAGCCAGTTGCTCTAACTCTCTGAGCTCACCGGTTTTCATCCTAGCCTTTGAATCTTTAGTTTTATTAGAATGATAGAAATTTAGTTAGAACTGCCCTTAACAGCAGCAACAGCCATTGTCAGGGGGAAGAGAACTCCCCCCAGGCTATGGCCTTAGCGGCTGGGCAACTAGTAGTTAAAGAACAGCCAATGTAATGAAGGTAAAATAGCATTTTGGCACCAAATGTAACAGGCTTTTTTTGTGGGGGCCACAACCAGCTTCCAAATCATGATACAGAGACTTCTTATTAGTTATGAATGTTCGGCCTTATTTGTGCTTGTCCCATTAGCTCTTACTTAATCTGTTTCTCTTCATCTATGTTTTGCCTTGGGACTTTTTACCTTTCTTTCCTTCTGTGTGTCTTACTTTCCTGCTGTCTCCCTGGCTGGCTGGTGGCTGCCTGGCTTCTGGCCCCAGGCATGTCCCTCTCTTTCTCCTTCTTCTTTGCCTAGATTTCTCCTCCTTATTCTCTCTGTCCACCAGCCCCACCTGTCTCTCTCATGCTTACCTATTGGATTTTCAGCTTTTTATTAGGCAAATCAGGTGCCTTAGTCAGGCAAGAGGAAACAAATGAAACACATCTTTATATAACTAAACAAATGCAGCACAAACAAATGTAATACATCTTTACATCATTAACAAAGACAGCAGAAACAAATATAACGTACCTTCACATAGTTAAAAGTAATGCTCTGTAGCATAAGCAAATGTAACACATTTTACACAGTTAAAATAATATTCTACAACAAGTGTGGTTTACATACTGAGTTCCAGGCCAGCCAGGGCTGCAAACAATGATTACTCAAATAGACAGATGTCTAAGACAACACCGAGATCCTAAGACAACTCTGGTTTTGAAGACAGAGTGTATCTAGCCCTGCTGGTACAGAGAAGAAAAAGGTGATAGTAAGAAAGAAACTCAATATTCAAGAAAAAAAATGGGCGAAATTGTAGAGTATCATCCTTGAGGAGACCAGAAGGGGCGTGATCCAACCTGCGGACAGTGGTACACCCTGACAAGGGGACAGATACGTTTTTATACACGGGGTAACAAGTAAAAAAAAGGGGATGGGGGAACAGAGAGATCAATGCCATGACCTCATAAAGGTAACTTGGAGGAGAATTTATGATTAATAATAAAAATTATTGTCCCTTACAGTTGGTGGTCTAGCCTGTTGTGGTGTGGAAGGCACGAGGGAGCTTTCAGATGTGCCTGCAAAAAGCTGAGGCTGCTTGCTCACTTCTGAGTGGATCAGAAAGCAATGAAAAAAAATATTGGTGTTCAGCTATCTTTTCCTCATTCCCTTTTGATTTAGCCTGGGATACCCAACCACAGGACAGCGCCACCCATATCCATTGTGAGTTTCCCCTTCAGATAGTCTTCTATATAAAATCCCTCACAGAAACACCCAGATGTGTGCCTCATTGGTGGCCTAGGGGTTTATGGATCCCTCAACAATGACCCTCAAAATTAACCATCACAAATAGCTTCAGTTTTCTCAGTAAAATAGGAGGTGAAATCAACCATGGGCTAAGTCATCAGGGTATGTATGGAAGGTGGGAAGACATGTAAGGAGGATTTGATGAGCCTGTAGCAGCCGCTAGGGTATCAGGCGAAGTCAACTCCGAAAGAAAGTATAAGTTGTGAAGGGTGGGCTGGGGAGGAAACGCTGAGATATCAAGTGTCACCATGCACAGGCACAAGACTGAATGGATGTGTGAGCACAGATACATCCAGAGTTATCTAGTTCCACCTCACAATGCACTAATGATCACTGCTTCTCCTGCCATCAAGAGAATTCAATACAAGTTTGCACATTAAGTGGTGATCCCCTTCCCTCACTGTTTAGAGCATGCTGGGTGCCAGAACTGTAAATTGTATTCCCTTATCATACACTCATTCAGGGGAGTCTAAGGATCTCACATGAGCAGGGCAATGTCTGTACATAGTAGTGGAAATACTCAGCCAAGCCTCCCTACCTTGAAGCCACTCACCTGCCAGGTAGTTTTGAATGTAATGTTCTCTGAGTATGAACTGGCAGACAGGAACCAGCAGCCCTCAGACAGAGAAGCAAGAGCAGCGCTGAGACACCCAGACCCTGTGCTATTGACATGTTGAGTTGACAACTCCATGATATAAAGGGCTGGCCTGTCTATTGTAAAATGCTTAGTAATATCTCTGGCCTCACCCACTAGATGTTAACATTCCACCCCGGTTGTGAACCAAGACTATTTCTAGGTATCACCAAACATCACTTGACAGTTAACTATCTGAGCACACCCCTACTTGGCTGAGAATTACTTATCTAGAATAAAAGAAAGATGATTTCTAAAACAAAGAAATATGAAATAAAAAGGTAGAGTGAAAGAATAAGAACAGGTCTTTAGAGAAAACCTGTAATTAATATCCTGATAGATATGAGTAGATAATGTCTTAATAGAAAAAGAAAAATTGAAAAAAATCTTCTAGCTAGTGAGACAAATTGGTAGAGAAATGAAAAATGGGAAGGACAAATTACGAAGTGAAAGATTGTTCCAGGAAGCTGACATCCAAATAATAGATGTTCTAGAAAGTGAACTCTGAGAAAAAGAGAAGAGAAGAAATTACCAGACAAGTAATTTAGGGAAATTTCCATCAGCAGAAGCCATGAGACTACAATGGAGAGACCCTTTTAATACCCAGCACAGGTGGACAGAAGAAACTGACTTGGGTACATTGTAAATGTAAATCATTGTAAAGTTTTTGAAAATTAGAAGAGATGAATCTTGATTTTTCCACAACAAAACGAAGCAACAAAGGATTGGGGATCAAAATTATGTTGAGTTTCTCTTCAGAAAATAAGGGAGGCTGTGACATAATACTTCCAAAGGTCTTGAGAGACAAAAACAAGCATCTCCAAGGATGTGGACCTACTGGCTATCCTATGCACTGTGGGCATGATGCAAAATGGAATGGATGCTTTGGAAAATGTTCTTAATAATTTTCTATCAGTTGAGGAGACACATAGCAATTTCTCCATAATAAGATCTACTCTACCATGAAGGAATGAAAGGCTGGTAACTAAATCAATGTGAATTTCAAAGACATTGTGCCATTTGAG